TAGACTTAGACTTAGACGTAGACGTAGACATAGACTCAGACTTAGACTTAGACTTAGACGTAGACTTAGACTTAGACTTAGACTGAGATTTAGACTTAGACGTAGACGTAGACTTAGACTTAGACGTAGACGTAGACGTAGACTCAGACTTAGACTTAGACTTAGACGTAGACTTAGAATTAGACTTAGGAGATCCTCCTTGTACAAGTATTTACAGAAATACTACTTTCGGGTTGAGCAAGGATCGCAACCCACTAGATTTACCGGCACAGGCTCGACCTTGCAGGAAACTGTTCGGATGGTGGCATGTTCAGTGACGACATTGGCCGAAGACAGTCTGAACTGGACAGCGTACCAGAATAAGTAACAAGCGCTTCAATCGTTCCAGTTGCTGTGTGAGGAACCTTGTCAAACATGGAATATCAAAGTCGCAAAACCCCAGCGCAGCACGTAGGCTCATGGCGAATGTCTGACGTTGCGAAACGGTTAGATCCAGAGTCGTTTCACCTGCCGCACATCGTGTAGATGGTCCGCTACATTGATGTTCATTGTGCATATGCGGACCGGGTTTGCCGCTGTTTACACTGTACACATGCCAACACAATATCTCTGTCGAAGCCAGTGTTCCAAAGTTCCCATGTGCGTCAGAAGCTTGACTGCGGCCCAAAAAAGACCAAGAAACTGAGCCGAAGATTGAGTGGCTGGGTTCCGGGCTGTAATTTTGGGATGTTACTTGCTGTGTTATTAGGGTTTTGTTACGTCTCAATTTGCCACAGTAGGGGTTTCCTCGAAAGCATGGCATTCCGTCTTTACTGCATTTATACCTGTTGTATTTGTCGAATCCTGACAAAATGCTTCAGCCTGCCGGCTCACTTAGGCCTCTAGAGCCATGAGTTCTTAATTCCACTAAGCCGCCCCACGGTTTCGGGCGTTTTTGGTGCCTTTCCCTAAAACGCAGAAGTCCTAAGCTCTAAACGTTAAAAGAACCTGAGCAAACAAACCTCATCGCCCGAACTCTAAACCCTAAACTTTAACCATCATCTTATCTTAAAAGCCTGGATTTGGGGTTCACAAGTTCGACCTGTACGTGTTATTTTGGATGTAGAATAAGGCCTTTCCAAAAAACGCATAATCTACCCTTGAAACCCTCCAGCACCGTCATAAGCCCTTTCGAACAGTTTCTGGTTTTCTTCCTCAAAGGCCCCTTGTTTGTACGAGCTTCGTAAAGCCCCTTTATGTCTTTTGGTAAGGTCCAGAGCAGCATTCAGACCGATGCGGTGATCCAAGCCTCGAATCGGGGAGGGCCTTTGCTGAACAGCCGCGGCCAGGTGATCGGAATGGCCAGCCGGATTTGATACAAATTCTTACCGGGCTTTGACCAGGTTCTCCAACAGGCTTAAAGTTTCGAGGCTTGATTACCAGCAGGTGCTACAAAGAGGTTTGAGGGGTCTACCAGGATTTGTAAAAGGATTGCGGGTTTAGGGAGTGGAGGGACGAGGGGGCATTCAAGCAATTTGCTGGTGAGTTTGATGATAATGATGACGCTGACGATGATGGTGATCGTGATGTTGGTGATGATGAAGATGATGATGCTGAGGGTGGTGAATATGATGATGAGGCCGATGAGGATGTGGATGCTGATGACGATGATGACGACGATGATGATTGGGTGTGTTCTAGTGTGTTGTGGGTCTAGGATTGCACCCTGTATGAACTTCACTCCCAAACCTCGCCTTTTTGGGGTAGAAGAACCCCATTGTCCATGTGAAAGTATATTACACTTGACTTCAAACCCCTCGCCGAAGATTCAGGCCGGGATATCAGCTGATCCTAGCCCGAGCATCCCTAGCAGTCACGGTCATAATAATCACTGCACATCCTGCTTTAGAGCAGACCCTGGTGGAGTATAAGCCCCGTTCAGGATTGAAACCCATCCAGCTGGTCCTAAGGCCCCATGAGCTCTAAATCCTAAGGACAGATTGACAGATTTGTAAATCCCTAGCCGAAAAACCTAAGCCCCAAACCCCACTGAGTCTACACCATCAACCCTTGTTTCAAAACCCTATAAGTGCCTATAAGCCTCAAGCCTTACACCTCCCCTTGAACCGTTAATGAACCCTAAACCCCAATGAGGCGACAGGGCCGCTAGAGGAGTCTCGCATCAGCCAAGCCATCCCGGCTGACAGCTTGCGGAAATACGTCCAAAGCATCCTTGCAGCTTCCCGGCACTTGTGTTTTGGGTGTGAAGGGCTAGAGGCTTGCGGTGTGATTATTGAGGGTTTGTGCAGATCCGACAAGGGTTTTGCGGCGTAGGATTCAGAGTGTAGGGTGTCGAGGTTTAGGATTTCTTCCCTTAAGTCTCGGTTTAGGATTCTGGAAATGTGGTTCATAGGGGTGTTGGGCTATGAAACTATCCGAAACCCCAAACCTCTAAACCTCTAAGCCCGAAGCAACACCCAGCCCCTAAACCTTAGACCCCATTCCCATAAGCCCCCAGCACTAAACCCCTAAGACGTCCTAAACCCCTAAACCCTAAACTTTAAACCCTAAACCCTCAACCCTCTGGATTTGGACTTCTAAACCCCTAAACCCTGAACTTTGAACCCTAAACCCTCAACCCTCTGGATTCCGTTGTTCAGGGCACAAGGCAACTTGCATCCCCGAAGCTTCCCCAGAGAAGGTTGGGGCTTCGGGGCTCAAGGGTAAAAGGGTTTGGGGTTTTATGATTAAGGGCTTTAGGGTTCTTTTGAAGGGATCTATAAGGGGTTCAACAAGGGATATGGGGGTTTGGGGTTTAGGGTTTAGGACTTTAGGGTTTAGGGTTTGGCCTTGGGGTTCTAGAGGTGAGGGTTTGGAGAGCTTGAAAGGTTCAGGGCTGAACTTGCTATGGGGGCGGGTGAGACTAGCCCTAGAGCCTTCATCCAAACAGAAGAAGACTTTCTAGACCTTCCATCCCTCCGAACCTTGGACAAAATTTTAGAGCCCGAAGCCCTAAACCCCTAAGCCGTAAAGCCTTGAAGCCCTAAACCCCAAAGGCCCGAAGCCTTAAATCCGCCCCCCCCAAAATGGGCTTCTCCAGACGCTTTGTGCGGGCCCGAAAAGGGTTCAGGGTTTAGGGTTTAGGGTTTAGGGTTTAGAGTTTACGGTTTAGGGTCTAGGGTTCAGGGTTTAGGGTTTAGGGTTTCCAGGAGAACGGCCATGTCAGTCGGCCGGCTCTGGGGATCTATCTGGAGCCCGATGGTTTCGCCGAGCGCCTGGGTGCCCACGGCGTTGTCGTGCAGGATCGAGGGCTACCGCAAATACTGGGTTCAGGGTTTAAGGGTTTAGGGGTGCAGGGTTTAGGGTTCATGCAAAAAGATGTTAGAATAATATGCTAGAGTGGGCCGGAAAAATATTATTCAACAGTAGTATGCTTTAGGGTTCCCAGAATTCACAAAGATTCACAGGCACAATATACCCAAACGCTAGTCCAGCATTCAACCCCCCTATTACGGCTCTAGTCTATTGTTTTTTTTAGCATGGTCCTTTGTTGGGTTATGGTATGTTATGGTTTCCGATTTCCTTGAGAGGGGATCCAAAAGAGCATTTTTGTTGCTTACGGTCTAAGTAGAGCCCTGAGCGCTGGAACTCTTTCGGGCCGAAGCTGGCCCCGAGGTTGGGTCTTTATAGCAGTGTTTGCCAGTGTACCTAAGGTTTAGTGACTGGGGTTTAGGGCCAGGGGTGTAGGGTCCTATAGGGTCTAGGGTCTAGATATCCATCTACCCTATTGTCGGCTAACTGCCTACCCCTGTCGGCCGCTGGCTTGTCACTTGAGTGCATTAAGCCAGAAATGGATATTCTACACGGGGAAGGCCGGGAAGGCCGCGGTACTGGGAAGGGCATGCCAGTATTCACTTGCCCATGTCCTGGAACGGGACGAACCAGCAACATCTCCGAAAAACGTGTGGCCTTTTGTTTTGCAGTATGTTACGTAAACCAGCAGAGGAGAACGACGAGCACATTAGCGCTTTATCAACCGACCAGTAATCTGGAGGCGGCATGTGCTTGGCGAGCACATCTACGATAGTATACGTATACATGCAAGACAGCCCTAAACCCTAAGCTCTGAATCTCTATACGGGTACTTCCCAGGCCTTAAGCCCGAAGCTTTCCGAAGCCTTTAGAAGCCTGGTCATCCAAAACCTGAAACCCTAAAACCCTAAAACCCGCAGGAAGTGCTTCCCGGGCCTGCCCGCAAAGCGGGCTTAAAGGCAGGCGACATCATCATCTTTCAAGGGGACGTGGCCATCCGCCGAGACTTGGCCACTATAATTGTCACAATGATTGTGATTCTTAGAAGTGGCTTAAGTTACGAATACGGTTCTTACTATGGTTCTTAAATGTTCTTAATATTCCCAGATCGGTATGCTCTTCCGCGGGAAATGTGCGTCAGAGTATCCTGACCTTGGCGTAGAACCAAAACCCCCCGCCGTCTGCAGTCGCAGAGGGTTCTTGTAAACCTCGGCGGCGTTGCAAAGTAAGGAGTGTTGTTAGACAAGGTAATCATGTGTATAGACATGCAGAGAGATTCACGGGAGCACAGAGACGACGGGCAGACGCACAGACGGCCAGAAGCATTCAGATTGAATGCGTGAATGTCGAGATGGCAGTGGCTTGCAGACATAGATGCAGGTGCAGCTGTTTACAGATAGACGAAGATGTTGATCAATGCCTTGTCCACCGCCATTGCCCTTATAATTGCTAAACCTTGAAGCTTCTCAGCCCGAAACTCCCATCTCAAGCCTAAGCCTAAGCCAGAAACTTCGAGGAATGGATGATCTGGTCACAGCCCTCGAAATGTACCACCCCGGCGACGGTTTCCAACTGCGTGTGCTGCGCCAGACTGCTGGCGAAGGGCTCGGCGCAGCGTTTTCCACAGGGAGCTATTCGACCGTGGACCTAAGAGTTGTACTGGGAACATCGGACAGCGATTATACTTCCCGGTAATGCTGCTGCTGCCTTACTGACTGCGTTGATTTGTTCCGGCTGTCTGTGACAACTGCTTTTGTTGTTACCGTTGTTGTTGGGTGCTTGCTCGTCGTTTGCAGCCGCGGCCCTTTACAGAATCTTGCAAGCTCGAGGAGAAAAGCCACTGTGAGCAGATTCGCATGATTCCGCGTGGTGACGTCTTCCGCGTTTTATGCAATGTCCGAGCCACCTAACCCTGAAGCTTAGATCTTGCACGGTTAGACCTGAAACATGGCCTTCTCAATCCAACAAGCCTTTCAGGCCTAGCAGCCTTGAGACAATTACCTGGGCGATGGGACCTCACAGTCTTCACTCAAGTCTGCAGTCCCTACAAGGTCCCTCTGCCCAGGAGAGGCTAATGGTGTATGGGGTTTATTTGTATGCGGCTGTAGAGTTTAGAGTTAGGGTTGAGGGTGTAGCTAAAAAAAGATGGAGGATACGAAGATAGTAGAACAAAGAATGGCAGCCGCACGCAGTGAAACACGTGAGCTACTAGCCGTGAAGGATACGAAACCTCTCAGTGATCGCAAACTCCTGGAGCGCCTTAACCTTAAGCCCTGAACCTCTACTAAACCGTTTAAGGTTTAGGGTTTAGGGTTTGGGTTTAGGGTTTAGGGTTTAGGAAGCCTCAAAGCATCTTATAGATCCACCTCAAACCCTTACGGACTCAGGCACCCTCATAGATCTCATTTTGAAACTATAAGCCCCTTCTTGGAGGCGTTTATAGGATCTTTCATGAATTCCCTTAAAAGGATCCCGAAGAGAGGTTGGAATCTTAGATCATTTGTTCATCGTTCGCCCCTTAGTCCAGTCCTCATATAAAGAAACACAGTTACAGCAGATAATAGGCAGCGAAGCACTGTTCTAATTCCTATAGCCCTGCAAATCAAAGGCTTTACGGCCTCAAGTCTCGGAGTTTAGGGCTAAACGTCCACGTCAACTGACAGAACCCTTTACTCCTAGAAACTCAGAATAGAACCTCCTAGAAACCTGTGAACATCTTTGAAACTTTGTAGAACCCCGAAAGAAGCCCTATGGAACCCATTACAACAGCCCTGACGCCTTCGATCCCCCTCCCCCCCTCCCCCCTCCTCCCTCCGCAGGTTGGAGTGACTGTTGGCCTGCTCCCAGGGGGTGCAGCAAGGGCCGTGGCATCAGGGAAGGAGCGATCAAACCGGGCGGGGCTCTTTGCAACCATGGAATGAGAAATGTTGTATAGCGCGGTCTTTGTAACATGGGTCCGTGAGGGTGTATAGGGCTTAAGGTGCTAGGGAGCACAGACACTAGTTCGAACATCGTCCGGGCGCAGCATCCCAAGGTCGTGGGAAAATCCAGACCCAGAGCCCCAAAAGAACCCTAAACCCCAAGCCTTTGTCTAGGGTTTAGGGTTTTGGGGGGGGTTAGGGGGCCCTGAACACTGGCGAACCCCAACCGCCCGAAGCCCTCAAACTCCAAGTTTTAGATCCCAGAACAGGGTTTGCTCAAGCCCTCTAGACCCCAGGAGCACGACAACATTGTCATCGCCGCCTCCCAGGTGAAGAAGCTCCAGGCACAGCCAGTAGTACTCGTAGGAGTTGGTTTAGGCTCAATTCTGTAAGGGTTCTCATAAGGGTTACCGTGCAAGCTATCTCGTTTGGGTTGCTGAAAGGCCTCTAAGGAGTACTTTACAGGCTCAGGGCTTTAGAGATTTAGGGGTGCAGTATGTTTTTTTTAATGATGTTTCAGGGTTTAGCTTTTTTAAGCACCCTGTCATCTCCTCTTATTTGAGGATGTCTGCTCGGTCTCACTCCCTGCACTTTGTGGGCAGAGGGGCTATGGCTGGCTATTGATCAGCTCACGGGCGGAGCGATGCGAAGATCTCGTGGAATGTTAACGGTTCCTATAAGGGATCTATAAACCCCAAACCTTAAACCCGAAAACCCTAAACCAAAACGAGATCTATAAGGGAGATCTATTGGGGCTTGGGGTTTGGGGCTCCTGTTTCGAGGTTAAGGTTTCTGGGCTCCTAAAATAACAGCAGGCCCCTAGGACCCCTTCTTTAAAGGGAGCCATCATAGACCCCTCACAGTTTTCTGACAGAACTTTTTTTTATCAGTGTCAATACCTGCAATAGCCCATACGGTCCGTATACATGCGCACAAAGCCATACAAAAGTTCGCAGGAGAAGTGGCCTGACCTCGCCGCGCAGGGTCCTGAGGGTGCGAAGGCAGCCCTAGAGGCAGGGCACGGCGTGTCTGGGACTACTTTAGGGGCTTTAATAATTACCAATAATTTTTTGGGGGCTCCTTATTATAATCATGGTATAATATACCCCCAAACCCTATTCTGATTATTAGGCCCCTCCGTTATAGCTTTCGGTCATGGGTCATCCTTAGAGGTTTCCATAAAGGGAGATAGGCTGAGATGTTAAGGTAGGGTTTAGGGCTTTGGGTTTCAGATGGCTGAGGGCGAAGAGTCTTTGGGGAGTGGGATTGCTTTTGTCTGTTTTTTTCTTGTTTTGATGTGGGTGGTGGGTCGGTGATGAACTATATAAGCCCTAGACCCCAAACCCTCCACCCGAAGCCCTCCACAAAATAACCCTACGTTGGGGAGTTTTGGGATGGGAAGGGTATAGAGGCTCCCGAGCCCGAGCTGAGCTTGATGTGAAGGCCTGGGGGGCTGAAGGAGGGTTTAGTCCAGGCAAAGCTTATCACAATTCGGGCTTTGGGGTTTACAGGGTTTGAGGGTTTATGGGGTTAGCTGCTCCAAAGCTTCGGAGATGTAAGTGTTAGCATCTGGCCGGGTTCGGCGGGGCCGGTGCAACAAAAACACCACCCGGCCCGGTAAGCTTTCCTCTAGCCAGCCGGGTGTTTTTTTTTAAATGCTCGGGCCCCACCGCCCGGACTCTCACTCACTTACTGTTGGCCTGGGCCGCGATGCTTCCTGGTCGGGTGATTTTTGTTTTTTTTTCTCCGGCCATGCCGAACCTGGCGAGCCATTAACAAAACATGTCTGGTGTTGTTGCTACACCCGGCCTGAAATGACCCGGCAGGGCAACAGCAAACCAAACAAACACTCTGGATGCCGGGGAAGGGGGACCGCAAACAGAAAACTGTAGGGACCAGCGACATGGGGCCGGAGCAAAAGGCGGCAACACACAAAAACGGCACCCTGGCCCCTTGAAGCCCAAACCCACCGGAGTTGCAATTGGCACCTGAAGCCGGACCCAACTCATCCGTTAGTTACCGTAGACACGAACTCTTCAGCAACGAGCCTGTTCCTTTCTTGCCCCCTTGAAGTAGCCCTTACTTGGCAGTTTAATCACGGACTTCAGCCGGTCGTTCGCACGAAGCACCCTTCGGTGCACATCAATGATTGAGCAAAATCTAACGACAATCTGGGACGAATGATGGCCAACTCATCAACACATGGGCTGCTGCAAATACCAATGCTATTCTTCAGGTCTGTTTATTGAAATTATAGCAAGTATACTGTCACCCAGAAACCTATTCTACTTATTAAAGCCCCTACATTAACTTGCTCATAGAGCTGATCCCTACAGCCCTCCGCTTGCAGTTCTTCAGCAACGTGATGTACTCGACATTGACCATCAAAGTGCCAGCTGGCTCAAGCGTGGGCGTCGACATCGAGGACAGGGGGCTGGCAAACTGGAGAAGAAGTGGAAACAAGTAGCAGCAGCGCTCGTATGTCGTGATGCTGCCGGTTTTTGCTTTGGCGGCGGCTGTTTCCTACTGCAGAGAAAGCCTCCAAATTTCAAAGCCTTAAATGGTTTAGGGTCTCGACCCTTGCATAGAAAGCTGGAGCCCCCAAGACAAGCACTGCACCCCCGGAGGCCTAAACACGATCTGAAACTCCCAAGCCTGAAGCTCCTATCCCTGAATCTAATGTAGGGGCCTCAATAATTCGAACAGGGTTTTTGGGGCCCATTATACTATTATTATACTAAGGAACCCCAAAATATAGTATCGGTAATTATTAAGGCCCATATATTATGGCTTAGGGTTTTGGCTTGATGGCCCCTCTGAGAAGGTGCCAGAAGGCAATGGAGTTGAGGGTGTTGCAGTTTCAGGGTGTGGGTGCAGGGATTACGGTTTAGGGTTTAGGGTTTAGGGTTTAGGGTTTAGGGTTTAGGGTTTAGGGTTTAGGGTGTTGCAGTTTCAGGGTGTGGGTGCAGGGATTGATTAAAGCAAGATGAGGTTCCCCAGTAGCAAGATAGAAGCCTAAATAACTACCAATATTACTGTTAGGGATCCTTATTAGAATAATACTATACAGGAGCCCAGAACTCCTGGCCTAATTATTGAAGCCTCTGCGTTATCCTTTTGCCCGTTTTGCTCTTGGGGCCCCCTTCTTAAAAGCAAATAGTAGGAAAAAGGGTGTACTTATATCGGGGAACCTAGGGTTGATTAAAGCACAGCCTTAAGACTTGGCTTTTCTCTGGGGACCCTACCCCCGAGCCCATCAACTGAGTAGATAACCCTCCAAAAGAAGACAGAGGGAACTCAACCACAACGGGCCTTCAGGTACTTAAGAATTTTGAAAGCACCCTTAAAGAACTTTATAAGGAAAGCTTCAGGGAGCCCTACTCTACCCCCTAAGCCTTTGAACCCTTAAAGAACTGTTAAGCAAAGCTTCAGGGAGCCCTGAATGCCTCGATGCCTGCAGGATCGTACCGTCACGAACGTCAACTCTCGGAAACTGGGTTGGAACGCAGGCCCTTGCTGAGTGCAGCGGGCAACCACGGCCTTGGTATGAAGTGTTTAAAGGGAGTCTTGAGGGTTTAGGGCTTTACGGGTTTAGGGGCTTAGGGTTTAGACGGTATAGGGCTTTGGGTTTAGGGGTTTAGGGTTATGGTTCATAGGGTGCTACAGTTGGTTGATGAGTGTTGATTATTGAACTATCAGCCAGCAATCGCTGAATCGGAGTAGCACCGAAAACGCCAATGGCATAGAAATGTAGCAAGTCGCCGCTCGTGAAGA